ATAATGAATGAACTTTACACAGTTACTGAACTGAACCAACACTGACGTGACTGGAGCTGAATAAACACACTATTGTCTTGTTAGAGCTGCTTTACAGCAGAATTTGGATTTGCCTCATTTTTGAAGTTTGCATCACTTATTCTGTTACTTTTCTGTTTAATACTGTGAAGCTGCATTGAACAGCTTGAACATCGGTACTGTATAAAGCACTATAAAAATGAAGTTGACTTCAAAGAAAAAAAAATCTAATTGTGATTTTCCTATTAAAAAATGCTATTAAAAAACTCCAGATTTGCTGTGCTTGTTTGTAGAGCTGCACAATTTGGCCAAATTTTATGATTATACATCAATATATCTTATGTAGTTCCACCCCTTTTCAGCACTGCGCTTATTGACTTCTGTCTTCCGCTTCATTTTTTCTAAAAATTTAAATTCAAACTAGATTTGGATTTATTCAACAGTAATATTAGAACACTAATATTATACGCACATCTAATTTTTCTTTAATCTACTAGACACCGCTAGTAGCGTGGATGCGATCTGTAACTGAACTTATGTACCTCATGTGGCACCTCCTGCAGACGATCCAGCGCACGAATGTGATCCAGCGTGTCTATGGATGGAGAGAGGCCACCGTGCAGACAGAAGATCTGACAGAGAGTTATAGGAGTTATTAACAGCCATTGATGATAACCTGATATTTGTCAGAGAAGTTAAACTGTTCTGGTATTACTCTTATAGCATGCATTTATCTGAAATGGAGGATTCCTCACCTGCCCATCCACCAGAGCTGTGAGGGGTAGGTAGTCAAAGAGGTCTGTGAAATATTTCCAAACGTTTGCGTTGCCGTATTTCCTCAAGCACTCGTCATAGAAACCATACACCTGTGTGATCTGTCTGCTCTCGTGGTTTCCCCGCAATATCGTGATGCGTTCTGGATAGCGAACCTACAAATGAAGTAGACAAATGAGGTGTCAAAATGTCAAACGTTTGCAAGACCACTGTAGGAAATTTAGCAAACATACCTTTAGTGCAACAAGAAGTGAGACTGTTTCCACTGAGTAATATCCTCTGTCTACATAGTCACCCATAAACAGGTAGTTAGTGTCAGGTGACTTCCCTCCAATTCTGAAGAGCTCCATTAGGTCATGAAACTGGCCGTGCACATCTCCACACACTGTGACGGGGCAGCGCACCTCC